CTCTTGGTTTGTTGTTTGTATATCCCTTTTAATTGTTAAGACATCAGACAGTTTCTTTTGTATGTCCAGTATAACATCTTTTTCCATGTTATTCCTTTAGCCTGTCATTTTTAAATCCACATTCAAATCAGTGTCAATCATGTCAGGTAATACTTGTTCCTCTTCCATAGCATCTTTTAAACACAGTCTATCTATAGAGGCAGACACACTTAGAATTAACTTCTGGGTCCATTGTTCAAAACTATCATTCATTATGTCCAATGTTAAACTATTTTGTTTCATTCTGTATTTGTAAGTCAAGTTAGTGTTTTTCTCCTTTAACTGTAATCTTTAGTTCCTTTTAGTTCCCTCTAGTGTCCAATTTTTAAAGTCTTATTATATTTTTGTTTTAAAGAATTCAAAACAAAAGCATTTTCTCCCAGGAAGGATTCTTTATAATTAATTCCAAAACTTTATTTCAAATCCATCTGGACCCTTAGTCCATTTGTAACTTTCTAAAATCAAAGTTTTAATTACCCTTTTGCTGTTTATTTCAGAAAAAAAAATGAAGTCCTTAAATTTGTATTTAAAACTTCTTTCGCTAAGGATTGAAGGAAACTTACCTGGTGCTATAAAACTTGTTCCAAAGGTTCTTAAGAACTGAAAATCAGTTAACAAGCAATTTCCTAAAGTGATTAGAAAAGGAAGTATGAGAACGTAGTGTCCTTTTAAAGGCGCTGACTGCAGTTTGAGCAAGATGGCTATCCCTTCATCTCCCAGAGCTCTAAACCCGCTGAAGACTGCTGTCTTGCAGTCTCCTCGTGAGGAGCAACTGTCTGGAGCACTTGTGGGAAATCTCAAGTCCAGAGATTGCCCACAAGTGCTCCAGACATTTGCTCCTTGACAGCTCTTCATTCCACTGTGGTTGTCAGCTCCACGTTTTGCAGAGCCATCTTCAGTTTGCCATTTCTTCGCTGGAAGTCCCTCATACCAGTGTTTTGATGTCAGTTACAAATATGTAAATCACAGGGTCTGTGTCAAGATGTCACGATGCACATTCTTGTCACCTGTCCTTCAGACACCCATGGCATTAGATTAATAAAACCCTTCTAAACCAGAGTTTATGCACCATTGTCCAGTTCAATAAACATGAGCCCATACAGCTTTCAGCCATCTATCCAGCCCTTCATTAGGCAATTTCCTAGAGATGAGACCTCTAAGGTTCGCCAATCCACTAAAGTATAGTGGAACTTATCTACTGGGCTTTCTGTAGCAATTCCATAAGAACACAATGAAGACAGCTGGTTCTTCCTGATCTAGGATAGTTAATCATTACATTTCTTTAAAATGCAGCTCTGAGCAACATAAGCCTCTCTAGATATTATTAACTACTACTGTAGTCCTAATCGATCTGGTCAACAATAGAGGATGAGTTGTAGTTCAGTATAGACTGGTCTTCAGCAAAGGTGGATTTTTTGACTGTGGGTTTTTAGTCAATCAATCACTAATGTGCCCTGCCTCAGCTAAATATGCAAGAGTTAGATCTGTGAATGTGTCCACGAGCATATTAATTAGCTCTTTTTACAAGGCTTACCTGTAATATGAGAATGCTTACCATCTATAACAGTAATGAAATCCATCAATATAATACAATTATGTAAATAAATAAAACAGGGAGATGAAAAATACAGAAATATTTATGATTATATTTTCCAGTACTCATATCAGGAAAATGTATTGTCTCTGCTCTAGAAAACTATTTGCAAATGAATGTGGATCCTTTCTCTTGTTCTCTTAGCAGGAAAACAATGTACATGTTCAGAAGTACATCATTCGTGCTTACCATACAGTATTGCAATCTTCAGGGATGAATCATGGTTCATAATGAAGAAGATGACTGGCCTAAATTTTTACCTTTGGGTCCATAGATAAAGAGTCAAATGACGGTAAGATGTAACTTCTCTTATGACTAAATTATTTGCTACAATGCATCATAATTATTATTCTAATACCAGTCATACCTTAAAAGACCAATTGAGACTATTGGGAGAACAGAGTAGAACCAAAGCCAAAATGTAAAAACAAAAAGATTTAGAAAAAACAGACTTCACTCTGAACATTGCTCGAAAGAGAGTGGAGCAAAAGATTTATTCTCCAGACTATCAAGAGCCATGTTTCTTTAGAGCAGTGAGTTTGAACGTGGGGGAGCATTTTACATAAAGAACCCAAAGCCCATAATTATGTCTTACAAAACTGTCAGGAGGTAGCAGCTGCAGAAGGGAAAGACAAAGAGAGAAAAAGACAATTTGATTCCTCTTTAAAAAGTGCAAATAGCTGTTTGAAGGGGAGAGGATGGATAACACCCCTGAGACAGAAAGCGGCTCCACAAGCCAGAATTAACATGCCAGGATGGTGCTGAAAGCTCTTTCTCGCCTCAGTGGCCCTTCTCTTGCTGATCTTCCAAGCACTGGTCTCCAATCACTAATTCCTATTTTCCATTTGGTTTAAGTTGCATCTCATTTCCACTCTTCTGCCTCTTCACTGGTTCCTTCTTGTTCAACACCTGAACGCAGGAAGCCATGTTTTACTGAGCTCCTGTCCATGCTGCAGCTCCTCAGAATTGTAGGGCCAGAGAGGTCTTTGTCACCTTGTCCAGAAACCCCATGGATTGCATCTGGGAACGTTTGGTTGGAATCTACTGTCCTGCAATTTAAACCCATAATGCCAGGTTCTGTACTCTGAAACAAGAGAGTACACCCTTCCTTCTAAGTTACCTAGATACATACACGTCACTAGGTTTAAAAGATTTCTAACAGGAAACAGACAAGCCTAGATGGAAAGGTTGAGGTACATGCACAGCCCTGATATTAATACCCCAGGCCCAGAAAGTGAGGTTCTATTGGGGACAGTTAACCCACATAAATTATAGGCTAGCACTTAATATTTGGTGAGGGCATCTGTCTCTTAAGCTATTTTTCTCTTATCCCCCATCATTTCCATTTTCTTTAAAAGAGTTCCTTGAGATCTTTCTACCCCCCACTTGCTCTGAGGACTTGTGAATGACAGGGTTTGTCAATGAAGCAAATCAGATTCCAGTTTGATGGGCAGTCAGTCAATGACACCAGTACATCCGAACAGTTGGAAATGGAGGATGAAGAGACAAGTGATATGCTCCAGCAGCAGACAGGAGGCAGCTACTAAAAAAGAAAACCAAACTTCCTTTCCCACAGGCAACATAGTCAGTTAGAAAAAAAGAGACCTGGTTCAGCCATCTTGACTACTACAGCATAGTTTTTTCTCTTCTTTGATTTCTCTTCTTATTCCTTCTACTGCAGATAAAGTAACTGGTATACAGGCAGGCTTGAATATTTTTTAAACTAAATGGCCAATTTTTGGTTTTGATCAACATAATATAGAGAAAGGATGGTAAAAACAAACTGTGAAAATATCCAGTTCTTCCACTAGTGGCATGCTCCTCTTTTATCTTTGTATTCTAGTAAGTTATTTTGCACTCATTGTTAAAAAAAACTAAAGTCTTACATGCCTTGCTTGTTTGTATGTATGTATGTATGCACATACATATGTATATTTTACTGTTGTACAACCACAGACAATTTTATAATTTTTTTAATGTGCAGCCATTATATGTAGAGTAATCTGTCTAGGTAGGAGTTAACTACTCTAAAACAAACAAAAAAAGATCCTGGATAGTTTTCCCTTCCAACTTGTTTAAATAAACAAGTTTATTTTTATTTCTAAAAACAGTACACCTATTACACTTTTTGTATTTTACTTTTGGCAAGGAATGACTGAATAGGTCATCCCTTACCCACCTTAGAACTATGGCTCTAAGAGCACATATGTAAGACCTTCAAAGGTGCAATTTGGAGGGGTTATGCTGCTTATGGCAAGTAGAGATAAATATTTCAGGACTAGTAGAATGAGGTAGTCATGAAGAAAGGTTGAATTAGTTACTATGGTACCTACCAAGTATGATCCTCTAATTTATATGGCATAAAGTAGCACTCCTACTGTGACAAGAGGTTCCATAGCTTCCAAACATCCAATTTATTATAAATCAACTTACGACACATATTTAATATGTGCATTCATAAAATCATCTGGAAGAATGAAAAAACCAAAAAGTGTACAGGTGATCCTCAGGCTATGATCACTCGTTCAGCAACTGTTCAAATTTGCGATGGCGCTGAATGAGGGGGATTTACGACGGGTCCTCAGAGTTCTGACCATCACAGTGCTCACAGTCACATGACTGCAATTTGCAACCTTACCTGCTGGCTTCCCACAAGCAAAGACAATCAGGAAGCCGGCAGGAAGTCAAAAGTCACAGTCATGTGAAGTCCTTGCTTAATGACCCGCATGGTCCTCGCTTAGCGACAGCAACCAGGGCTGCTGGAACTGCCATAGTTAAGTGACACAGTCATGTGATGTCATGCTTTACAACCATGCTGTTTAGCGATGGCAACTCTAGTCCCAATTGCCATTGTAACCCAAGGACTACCTGTAGTAGCACTCATGATAACGGCTTGCAGCATTTAGACAGGGTTCCCCATCCCAATAATAATGGATGAAACAAAGCCACAAACTGGGATTATTCAATGGCTGATTGTATTGCAGGCAAAAAGAAAAGTTTGAAAATCTCACACATGGGTATCCGGTGGGATCACCAAGTGATCCATTCAATTAAGAAGTCCTTACACCTCTGTAACCAAGCCAACATTAGCAAAGGAGATTAATTTTAAACTGCCTGGTTGACAGACTTGGGGTTTGAAAAACTGTTTAGTACAATCCCTACCAAAAAAAAAAAAAAAAGAACTGGAGAATTTTCTTTCACTTTGGCATGAGTTAAACAAGAAAAAGATCAAGTTTTCTTGCATCCCCACACCAGGTGCTGCTGAGCATGGATTGGTCATTCTTGTTTCCAATTCTCTTTTTGAAATACAAGTTCCACAGCATCATTAACATCATGCACAACATGAGAAGCTTCCACCAAGTTTGGATCAAAATGGAAATCGCGATGCCCGTGGGATACAGTCTCCAGTATGTTCTCCTGGCCAGTAGGCATGTCTCCGTGAGGATTGTAGACCCCAGTGCAAACTAGTATAGAGTGGCAGCTCTTTGCAGAGCTGACTGAGACACTGCAATCTCTCTGTATCTCTAGATGTTTCTCTCTCTCTGCAGCCATAGCAGTTACATTTACTTCAGCCTGAGTCTGGAGGTAGCGATTGTAGAGGTTGGCACCATAAATATCAGCCATTGGATTGTCCCTGTAAGTAGAGTCAAGATATAAGAACAGAGCAGGATGGGGGAGGAACAATCTTAAACAGTAGTTAATGTATGAGAGTATTCACATTTTGCCTACCATTAAATCATTCTTCCCCAACATATTGTCCTCCAGTTGTATTATGACCGCAACTCCCCAGTTCCAAGCAGCATAGCCAATGGCACATTGACAATGGGAAATATTTCATTGGTATACTTACCTCCATCTGATTATCCATACACTAACCATGCACTTTGCTGCTTATAAATAGAGATATTACATTCAAGATCAGCAGCAAGAACAGAGACTAAGTTCTCACACTGCCCTGTTGTCCATTGTGCTTAACCACAAACCGTGGTTTACACACAATGGCTGGGTTCACACAACCTGCTAAACCAAACTAACAATGAGCAACACAACTCTTCTCGCTGTTCTTTGCACTATCGCAAAATCTTCACCTTTCCAAGCTAAAATAGGAGGGCTTCTTACCCAACAGCATATAGTTGGCAAAGAGGGGATGACCAGCCACAACTTTCCATTTGCTGCTTGAGCACATGTTCAGCATAGCGGTAAGTAACAGTGCTGGGCTTGCCTAACAGGGCCTCATACTTCAGCTCCTTGCCAGTCATCTTCTTGTAGATGTTCTCCAAGCAGACAAGGAAAGTGCCATGGCCAAACCTGGCCAGTGGAAGAGACGGGGGAGAGGGGGAAAAAGGAAGCCATCAGTATATATATGCTGACTGACTGGAGCATAACAACTTGCCTTGTATATGTATCCTGGATTAAACATACTCTAGTTCAATGTCCAAGCACTGCCCTCAGCATGTGGAAGCAGGATCAGGCCTGGTTAGTACTTACATGGGGGATTACCTAAGAACTCCAGGGCTATGGGCTAAACTGGGAAGAAAAAAAAAATTCCAAGAAAAGACAACAGCAAACCATTTTCATTGCTCTGCCTAGAAGACTACATAGATGCTGCCAGCAGGAACCGGGCTGTTTTTGTTTTTTGCTTGCCAAGTGACATACACTGGAATGTCCTCTCCTTACACTGTACGCTCCTCTCTTATATTTGGTCTTGCAAAATTCAATAGTTGCTGGTGCTCCCTTGTTAGCGATTTGCTCTGTTACCATTACACTTTTCAAAACTCTCCCCTACTGGGTGGAAAAAGTGACTGGATTTCTCCAAGGGAAGGAGAAATTCTCCAACAATTAATTGTCAACTCATAAATGCCTGGACATAAAGGCATGATTCCAATTGCTTTCTGAAAGAAAACAGAGTGACACCTACTGCGAGAGAATTCCATAATGGGGATGTTATCACTCAAAAACCCTACTCCTGGCTATCACACTGTGAGACATCATTGGTGGGACCATAAGCAAGGCCTTCCCAGCAATCTCTCTGCACAAGTTGAATAATATAAGGGAAGGCAATCTTTTAAATACCAGAGTCCTAAATTATAAGGACTTTATAGACAATCATCAACTCAAGTTGAGCCTGCTAGCTCATAGGTGTTAACACAGTACAGTTCTTTCAGGAACAGAATTATATGGTCCCACTTAAAAATTAGGCAGCAACATTCTGCACCAGTTGTAGCTGCTGGATTGTCTTCAAGCAAGCCCATGGATTGCAGCAAACTAAGAAGAGAAACTGAAAGATCAAAGATCACGAGGCTAGGCTATCTTGGCACAGTGTGATGGAATGGAATTATGAAGGCCAGGCTCAGGGAGAAAAACATTTTCTTACATCTCCTGAGGAGCGTGGGAG